TCAGCGAAGCTCAGCCTTTGGCCCGAGCCCCTCCCCTGGGTACCCGCGGCCCCAGCAGCCACCCCTCAGGCAGACTGGCCGCTCGCTGCCCAGGCGAGGAAGGCTTGGGAGAAAACCTTGCCAGGCAAGGGACACTGACATCTTGTAAAGAACACCCCGAACCAACACAGACGTCACCGATACGACCAACTTTGTAGTAATGGGGCGTTCTTCTCTTCAGGTGAATGCTGGCACCTCCAACACAGCACCTTGTGTGAAAAGCAGAAACGAAGGCTGCTGCAGGAACTCCTGCCTTATTCTTAACGCACAAATTAAGTGTAAATTCCCAATTTCCCTTCTTGGCTAATCCTCTGGATTTATGTGAGTAGATGTAAGGTTAGAGCACATTTATTTTCATGTTTGGAATTTATAAATTCGTATAAACCGGCACTTCAAAGTAACTCAGCTCCTATAAAACCCAATCCCACAGAGACACCACAGTGCTTGGACAGCAAGTAGATGCTTTGTCATATTCCCACGTGTATTTGAGTTTTTTTTCTTTGGGAACATTTTCTTACTGGTTTCAAACCGCATTTCCAAGCACAAGCATTCATATACTGAAATTGTTTATACAGTCTACCCAAGGAGTTCATTTTATTTAACAGCCCGTTATAGTAAAACTCACTGGTGGGTATCTCATCATTACGCCACAAAGCACTGTGTTCAATGAGCATGCAGGATCTGACACAAAGCCACAAGAGCCAGAAACTTGAGAATTAATGCTGAAATGCATCATTATCCCATGCCGCTGTGCCTAAGTTCTTCAGCAAAGAAAACAATCGGGTTTTTCAGCCTTTTTAGAGTTGCAGACCCCAAAACATTTCCCAGGAGTGATGCACATCCCTGGGTAGCAAATCTAAATCTAAATATAAGGAATATGAGTCTGCTTTCTCTCATTATCTCTCAGGGAGTTTTTAGGAGAGCATGGAGCTTGACATGGAAAACCACAGAAGGCAAGTAGGGAGCCTGGTGAAACCGGGGCAGCTTTACCAGCTTGGCTTCCCTCAAGAGTCCTGGCTGGCCACGCAGTTCATTTTATCCCGTGTCGATCTCAGACCCCTACATCAACGAGCGTCTGGGCACGCAGCAGGAAGGGCTGCAGGGACACCTGGACACCCACATTTGCTTACCCTTCTGCTGCTGCCGCAGCTGGGACCACGGAGCCAGAACAGCCTGGTAGCTGCCTCAGTTTCCCTGTCCAGAAAGGCAGACAGTGCAACACACAGGCACCAACCACAGCCAGAGGGTGCCACGCGGCTGTCCTGCAGTAGGGCACCCAGGGAGGCAGCACGGGGAACCGGCCATCACCTCCCCTGATGTGGTGCTGCAGGCATCCTGCTCGGCCTCCCCAGGCCGGTTAGCACAAGGGCACGGGCTCCTGGCAGCTGCCCCACGCTCCGGCTGTGCCGCGGGGCTGACCCTCACAGCGAGCAGGCCACAGTGTGGCTGGGAAGAACAGCTCAGAGATGAAGTGAACCCACTCGGTGTCCCCAGGCTTCGGTAAGCACTGACAGCACACTGCTGCAGTTGACGTTTAAGGCAGGCTGCTGAAGAGATCTTACATCCCTCCTCCATTCTGAAGGCTGAGGTCCAGATTTGATCCAGGCTTCTAGCAGTAAAAACAGGGCAGTGACTTCATGCAGTATTTCATCTCAGCTGCATGCGTTACAAACACAGCCTGCTATTTGATATAAAATTAATTACAAAAAAAGCTACTTTTGCTGTGGGAAACCAAACCTAGAGCTCACCCACTCACTCTGTGCCCATCAAGAACCAAACCACACCAAATCCTTCCCTGGAACATCCTCCTTCCCCTACGCTGCTTCTGCTTACCCATCTCCTTGGTGACTTTTTGGTGGCGCTCATCAAGAACAATCAACCAACCTGCTGACCTAGACCATGCTCCCCTGCACACTTTCCCCACGTCTCACAAAGTCATTAAGCACATGCTTAATTGCAAGTCAGTGCTCCCATGACAGGGACAGGGCGCCCCCAGGACACCGGCCCAGCCGCCAGCCTGGGGAGATGCAGCGGCCGCAGCTCCCGCTGCCCGGCTGTCCTGGCAGCCCCAAGACACGGCTGGCGTGCCTGGAGCCAAGGGCTGGCGGCAGCGGCTGGGGACTGGGACCTGGATCCGGGCACCAGCACCGAGCCCTCGCATGGTGCCCACCTCCCACCGTGTCAGCTGCCACCACGCCGAAGGTAACGAGCCTGACCTGCCATCGCCCCGTTCTCCCAAAACCCATCCCTCATGCCCCAGTGCCGCGGCTCCCGGCTGAGTCACAGCTAAGTGCTGCAGGAGAGGAGCATTCAATTAGACAGAACAACACACAAGGGGGCAATGATTTTCCTTTCACACCGCATTACGCCTAACAGCCAGTGCTCCCTATTTGTAACAACCGACTACTTCAGCCTAACATGTATTCGGAATGAATCAGGTCATCATTAGATTTTCATTTTTTTCCAGAAGGAGCTTAAAACCCAACCACCTAGACTACAGGAAGAACTAATGAACCACAATTGTGATAATACCGGTGCACCTATCAGTGATGCATAGGCAAAAGAAAACTTGGAAACCCACTAACGGCTGGAAAAGTGGAGCTTATAATGGGAAGGCAGCTAGACACTGATCTGCACCACTGAACCAGCTGCTGCTTTAATACATTTTCCTGCTGCGTTCCCAGGGCTGGGACAGAAAATGTATTAGAGTATTTCATTGTCTTGAAGGTGGAAATTGATGTTAGATTTTTGCAGCACAAAGAAACACAATATTACAACTCTTCTCTTGACACTGCCACTCTGGGACTTGAAAACGAAAACAGCTTGTTAACTTGTTGGCAATTCTAATGATTAAGTAAAAGGCAAAAGGAAAAAAAAATGAAAGGCTCTCCTTCTGACTGGTAGGAAGGCTTCCCAGCAGGCTTGGTCAGCGGTTTTAGAGAAATACGCTTCAAATAAATGGGAAGCGTAGAAATATTAGGCATGAACGAATATTAATAGTATGCTTCATTTATATCCTGCTGTACTTGACATCAAAGGATCTCAAAGCAGCTTTACAAATGTAATCTTTCACAACACGTGAGCTAGGCTTCTGAATAACAGTAGTAGATACAGGAGTGTGCCTCAAATCAGGAAACTGAGGCACCTACAATTAAATGACTGGCTCGAGGACAGCCACACAGCACCAGATAAACCAGAATCCCGTTTTCCCTGTCCACCCTTTATAATCACCAGCCGTACTGCTGTTTCCATTTAAACAAATTTTCTTGCAGCCTGATCTCACCACAAAGCTAAACACAGCGGGTGTCTGGTGACTTCCATAGGACTGGAGGCTCGGAATTTTCTAGCTCGCTCCCCTGAACCTCACATACCTGATTGCTTACCCTTTCAGGAACACAGAATTCCTTCGCAGAATGAGCTGACAACGTACTTCTGGTTGTCCTCCTCCACCAGCCACAGGGCATTCAGAGGAAAGAACCGATACCAGGGGTACACTTCGCAGTGCATCCACATTAAAGGCCAGATTCAGAGATGGAGAGAAATCTCATCTCAGTGAACTCAGGGTCTCTCTGGAGTCACTGTGGAATTAACTGTCTGCATAGCTTATTGGATATGGCACTTGATATTTCGAATGTTATTACACTGCTGTTACTTGTAATTATTTTCCTTAATAACAAAAGTTAGAAAAGGCAGTGTTTTCTCAACCATCGAGAAGCGCTGAGGAAGCTCTAGGGAACTGGGTGTCTCTCTGCCATTGAGTTTCAATTAAAACTGTGCTTCTAACTCTTAAGCACTCTCCAGACTTCTTAGCTGCAGTGCCTCCTCTCAGCCCGCGTGACAGAGATGCTACAATCCTGCAAGGTGCTGAGTGTCAGATTTGCAGGGATGCTGAGCATCAGCCCCAGCCAGCAAGACCTGCGGGTGCCTTCCTGCCCTGTAAATAGGATTCCCGACTCCCAGTGCCTCCTCTGAGAGCCGTGACCATGCCAAAACTTGAGGACTGGGCTCCTAGTGTTTAATGCACTGACTCTTTGTGGAATTAACTCAAAAGCCAGGACAACTACCAGATTGCCTGGCTGTCAGGCAGCTTGTAGCTTGCCACCAGGGAAAAACTATTCAACTTTGCTAGAGTAGGTCTACGAACCAGTGCATTAAGACTACATATTTTAACGCAGCATGGAGATGCCACACTAAACACTTCGGTTACCATGGGAAACCTTTCTCTCTTTGCCACTGGCATTGCACAGGGAAGCCCAAGCCCAAATGCTCTATCTTGCCTTTGAAATCCAACAGATGTTTTTACGATCTTTGATGGAGCTGAGTTATGCATCCTTCCCAGAGGAAGGGAAAAATGCAGTGTTAAAGCAGCTTTCTCTTTCTTTGTTTCTCTCTCTTTCTTTCTCTCCAAACAGTGCACGTCTTTAGTGAAAGGGAAAGCAGCCGTCTTTATCCGCCGTTAACATTTACGTCCACTCGGTAACAAATCGTGACAGCGGCAAACTTTTCCCCCGAACGCAACGGCACAAGGCCGCCTGTGTGCGCGCCTCCCCGCGCAGGGCTGCCCGGCCGCGGCGGGACGGGACGTGGGAAGGGAGCAGCTGCGGCTGGCGGTGCCCCCCCCCAGCCCCCTCCCGGCCGTGCAGGGACCGCGGCCGGACGCCGAGCCTCTGAGTCACCGCCGGGTCCGTGCGGCACGGAACGTGGGAATATCGCTGCCCCGGCACCGAGCCCCGCGGCGCCCGCACGCAGCAGCGCTCCCTCCGCTCCCCCGTGCCGAGCGCCGTGCGCGCCCGCCGGGGAGGCAGCGGGACCGGCCGGCGGAGCGGAGCGGAGCGCGGAGCGGAGCGGGGCCGCTCGGGAGGCAGCGGACGGGGCGGGCCGGGGCCGTCACCCCCCCGCCGGCCGCAGCCTCGGGGCGCCCCGTCGTGGGCGCCGCCCGGCCCGGCAGGTGCCCGCCGTACCTGGATGTTGCGCTTCTCGCAGGCGGGGCCGGTGCCCTGCACCACGCTGTCCAGCACGGTGACCATGCCGGCGGCGGGGCTGACGAAGCAGGAGTTGCGCGCCGCCCGGATCGTCTCCTCGATCTCGGCGAAGCGGAAGATGCAGAGCGCCGAGAGCGGCCGCCCGCCGCCGCCGCCCGGCCCGGCGCGCTCGAAGACGCCGAAGAGCAGCTCCTCCTCGGGCGGCGGGGCCGCGGCCGGGCCCGAGGGGCTGCGCCAGGCCGCCCGCGCCGGGAAGACGGAGACGAGGCGGGTGAAGGCGTCGGCGGCGCCGCCGCAGCGCAGCCCCAGCTGGATGTAGGACTCGGTCAGCTTCTTGGTCTCGCCGCTGCCGTTGAGCGTGGCCTCGGCCGCGTCGCCCAGGCAGATGCGGGCCAGCAGGCTGTGCGAGGGGCTCTCCTTGTCGCCCGCGTTGGCCTCGCTGTTGAGCGCCAGGTAGGCGTAGGGGCGGCGGGCGGGCGGCGCGGCGCCGCGCTGCAGGAAGGCGCGCACGAAGCTGAGCTTGTGGCGCGCCTTGGCGACCTGCTTGATCTTGAAGATGTTGTCGTCGGACGGGTTGATGTCGAAGGTGAAGAGCTTGGCCAGGTCGCCGCGGGCGTTGAGCGCGCGGATGGCGATCTCGGGCGTGTTCTCGAAGCGGTGGTCCTCCAGGCTGCGGTTGCGGGGGAAGAAGGGGCTGCCGAAGCCCGTGTAGGTGGCGGCCACCAGCAGCCGCGCCCCGCCGCCGCCGCCGCCGCGGCGCAGCACCAGCCCCACGGTGGAGGCGTTGGGGTGGTTGGCCGCCACGTTCAGCATGCTGGGGAACACGGTGACCGCGTCGCTGCCGCCCGGCGGGAAGCGCACGGCCACGGCCGAGATGTTGGTCATGCTGCGGAGCTGGCACAGGCCCTGGTAGATGGAGCCGCAGACGACGAGGACGCCCTGCTCGGGGTCGGGCTGGAGGATCTTGTTGTAGTTGTTGGTGAGCACCTTGGGGTGCTCGCAGGAGGCCTGCGGCAGCTGCGGCGCGTGGCACAGGGGGCTGTCCAGCACCGGCCCCACCGCCGCCTCCGCCTGCAGCGCCAGCTCGCCCCCCGACAGCTGGAACAGGCGGTTGACGGCCGCCAGGTAGACGCGGGAGCCGGGGCCGTCCAGCGCGAAGTTGTTGGTGGGGGTGGGCGAGAGGAACTTGCGCTGCACCTCCAGGCCGGCGGCGCGGCCGGGCAGCAGCAGCGGCAGCAGCGGCAGCAGCAGCGGCAGCAGCGCGGGGGACCGCGGCTCAGCGCCCGCCGCCGGGGCCGGGGCCGGAGCCGGAGCCGGAGCCATCCCGCCGCCCGCGCCGCCGCGGAGCCGCCGAGTGCATGAGCCCGCTGCGAGCGGCGGGAGGGGCCGGGCCGCGGGGCCGCTTCCTGCGGGGGCTGCGCGCCCGCCGCCGAGCGACGCCCGCGGGAAGTGGCGGCCGCGCCGGGTGCGCGGGTGCGCGGCGCTGCGCGGCGGGGGGCGGCGGGGGGCGGTGGGGCGCGCTCACGGCCGCGCCTCCCTCCCTCCGCCCGCCCCCGCCCCCGCCCTTCTTGGCGTTACTCACTTCTTTCTTATTCGGGGTTTGTCATGTGAAGATGATTAAGTCGCGGGTATTTTTCCCCGCGCCGCGGGCCGGCCCCGCACCGGGCGGGGGCACGAGCGCCGCGGCCCCCCTGCCCCGGGCACGGCTCTGCTCCGCCGCCCCGCTTCTCCGCAGCCGGTTTCGCGCAGGACCGGCGGGGGGGCGGCCGAAGGACGCGGCGCCTTCCCCAGCGGCGGAGCGGCGCGGCCAGCCCGGGGAAGGGGGGGGAAACGGGCCCCCCGCCGGCCGGCCCCGGGCAGGGGCGCGAGGAGGCGGCGGGGCCGGGGCGGGCAGGGATGGAGCGGGCAGGGACGGAGCGGGCAGGGACGGAGCGGGCAGATGTGCCGGGGGCTGCAGGGCCCGTCCCGTCCGGGCGGCCGCGCCCGCTGCGAGCCCGGACGGAGCGGGGGGCCGGGGGCAGCGCGGCCCCGGGGGGCCGCCGGGCACGGCCGCGGCCTCGGGTCGGTTCCCGGCCCCGGCCCCGGCCCCGGCCCCGGCCCCGGCCCCGGCCGCGGGCAGCTCCCCCGGGAACCGGCCCCCGGCGCGGGGAGCGGCGTGCGGCTCCTCGGGGCCCCACGTCCGGAGGGAGCTTTGCCCGCACGAGGAGCCAAAGGCAGAGTTCGGAACAGGACCGCGCGTCTCCTCTGCCCTCCATCGGGCTCTCCTTTAACTGTAGAAAGGGGATGAATAAATAAATAAATAAGAGAAAGAAGTGTTGATATTTCCAAATTCCACCCACTGAAATGCACGGGGCGGGGGGGATGGCCCCGAGATAGCGCAGCCTCTGATCCGCCCTTCCTTATCGGCGTGGGAACGCTCTACCTGGGTGGGTGAAAGTGTAAATTCACATCCCCGGCAGCTCTTCCCACGTCCGTGGGCACGCGTGCTCCCCCCGTTGTGGGGAGGGATGCTCTCGGACCGAGGAGCGCGGCCAGGTAAGAGCACAGAGAAAGCCACGAAGGATCCTGCGGCAGGAGCCTGCCCGGGCTGCACTCTGTGCAACAGCTGCTGTGTTTGCTCAAGGCTCACAGCCCCGCAGCGGGAGCGGAGCGGCCCCGAGCAGCTGCCCAGAGCAGCACTCAGCAGAGCCGCCCAGACCCCAGGCAGGTGCCAAGGGGGCACGGGTGGGCTGCAGGGCGCTGCAGTACCCCGACCCTTGGCACCCTGGGGATACTTGCAGCCAAAGCGAGGGCAGAGCTGAAAGCCAGGCACGTGGCTTTATCCTCAGTGTCCTCGTCTCAATCCTGAGTTTCCACTATGAGCAGAGACCCAGCCGGAGCAGCCACGTGTGGAGGAAAGCAGAGGGGAAGCTTGTAGCCTTGCTTTCACCATGCAGCTACAGCCGTGTATCATTACAATGACACAAGTCTCCTTGCAATAGGGGAGTGTGTCCCCTGCACAGGGTTGAGTACAGAAGCACCTCACCATCCACGAATAGCTGTCAGCATTTAAAGCAAGGGTAGGAAATCAGATGAGCCCTGGAAAGCTGTATTCCCTCCTGTCCCCAAGCTGTGCCTTGCCACCCTGCCCGTTCTCGTGGTGCTTATTTTCATTTATACAGAACATGGTAGCGAGGCTGATGAGAATTCTGCACGACTTCTGTTCTGGAGAGGAAAATCCTCTGTTGTTGTCTAATCTCATTTCTACACCTGCCAATTTTCCTCACCCCCTTCCTGTCCTCCTCGCTCTCTTCAGAGCACTAATTAATACGCAACTGCTTTGGCCACGCCATGTCCACCAAAAATGTGCACTGAATTAAATGTTGTGCTTTCGTGCTATCTAACTCATTGTCTCTGGTAATCATATCCTTAATTAGTAGAGTTATTAGCTGTTTCTGAATGTGGGACTCCCAGTTGTTGGATCTTTTTTTAAACTACAAGATAGCAATATTTAAATGTGATCGTGTCTTTAATTGCATGGAAATAAACCCCCATGATCCCAAACCCTTAATCTGCCTATTTTAGGATTTCTTATGGCTGCTTATCCTGATAGTAGAGCATCTTCCATGTGGAATCAGCCGTTTAAGGCATATCAAATTAGGTTCCAGATTACAGTCAGTTAAAAATAAAAAAAATATATATATAGGCCAAAGAGCATAGAAAAATGTTTGACTTACCCAAAGGTATTCAGTAGTTGCTTTGTAAGAAAAAAAATCCCCCAGGAGCTCTGACTCCCATTTCCTATGGTGAGCAGTTAGCTACACTGATACAATTAAAGCCAAAATATTTGTGGTATTGAAGGATTGTTTGACAAAGATTTTATTGTTGTTGTTAGGAAACAATCCTCTGGTAAGATGCTTTGAGGGGAATATTTTCCAGAAATGATTTCCCACCCCTATTATCTGGGCTGTTAGAAGCTCTAGTGAGTATTTCAGGGTAATGCTCCTAATGGAGTAGTAGAGGTTTTTAAATCTCTCATACACAGATCTCACCATTATTTTTTTGTTCAGGAAGAAAAAAGGAAAGGTCAAAATTAAACCACATGCCTCCTGCAATAGGCATTCACCCCCCTGCCAAAATCCCTTCTCCTGTGTGACTTCTGTGCAGGTTTAAAGACAACAGCTTTTCAGATATCTCTGTGGGGGAGAGGGGCTGTGTGCATAAGAACTCAAAAACACTTTAATTATTAATAAATATATTTACACGAGAACAGTTTCCCTTTAGGGGAAACATGAGTTACTCATGCAATTACTCAGGTTATATTGACTCAACACTGTCAAAGAAAAAAAAAAAAAGGACCTAATCACTTTAATACAGGGGGGCATAAACATCTATTTATTTAGTGGGGTTTGTGTGCAAGGTAACCATAAAGTGCCCTGTGGATTTGGGAAGAAAACTCGCCCTTGCACATGGGAGATGGTGGGGTTTGACTCAGCAGACGTGCACGGGACAGGCTCCTGGGGCCACCTCTGCCTCTGCGCGGGGACCCCGTGGGTACCGCAGGTGCTCGGGGCTGGGCTGCACGGGAGGGCAGAGGCGTGCGGGGCTGCGTGGAGCAGCCTCAGTCCTGCTGTGGGTACAAGCCCCAGACGGGGTGGGCTCCTCACGTCCTGGCAGAGGAAAGGCAACACTCGGCCTCGGTCACACAGGAGCTGCCGCTGGGCACTCACCCGCCTGCACCAGGTCACGTCAGAACACACGGCTGCTCCGGGCCAGACAGCCAGGTCTCACGTTTGTCAATCTCCTTCACACCTTGCCTCTAAGTGGGGTCTTCGGTTCATTTTCTATGAGATTGCAGGGCAGGTTAGTGAGAGACCTTGGGGTAGATTCACATTCATCAGCACTTGTTTTGAATCCGTTTGGCCGCTTTCTTTCCCTCTCAAACACAAAACGATGCAAAATGGCCCATGGATAGCTGTAGCGGATCAGAGCAGGGGGCAGCTCACGCACTGCCCTCATCCTGAGAGAGGCTGCTGGTGGCTCTCCGAGGAAAGGGTTCCAGAGGCAGGACGGAGGATGCCAGGAGGTCTCCAGGTGCTGAGGAAGTGCAAGGGGAACTCAAGGTGAGCAGAGATGCGCTCAGACACAGAGAAATCATTACCTGCACAAGAACTGCTCCTGCTCACCGCACTTACCTGATGCTGTCCAGTCCTGCCTGCCACCCGGCTTTGTCCAGTTAGTTGTTAGTGCCTGGTGTCATCAGGCTGGATGCATCAGCAAAGTGCTCACAAACGCACTTCAGGGCACTCAAATAACAGAGGGCTTGGAAATAGACTGATTAGCAATTCTCAGTATATTTTTGGATGAGTGTGGACTGGGTCCCTATGTTATTGTTACTAATCTGTATCGTGAGCACAGCTCATGGGGAAGGAGGCCAGGCTGTCATTACTGTTATTACTAATGATTTAGCACACTGGGATTCTGCTAGGTGCTTAGCAGAAAGATTAAGGCAAGGTCCCTTCCCAAACGTCCTTTAATCTAAGCACGAGCTGTGGTGTGTGCTCAGGCTTCACTGCAAATGGCTGTTGCAGGAATTGCACTGGCAGGTTCCACTGCCACCGTGTTGCTGGCTTCCAGCCCTGGTCTGAGCAAGGGCGGAGGGATTTATGGGGACATGTGGCACTTTCTGAGAAGAATCATGCTTTTTTCCCCTCAAATCTCTTTGTTTTCGAAGATGAACCTTTCCCAGTGTAATATAGAGCAGAGTATGTAATGCAGTCATAACCTTGTCTGCAGCGTGCAGCCGGCTGACGTGCTCACCGTGAGGGATTCGCCTCCAGAGAGGAGCTGTGCAGACAGAGGTTGTGAGCATGAAAAGGTCTCCTTCTGGGTTAATGATGGATTCAGTGCTGGTGAAAGTTCACACACACACAATAATGGCAGGATTTTCCAGACAAGGAGGTTTATCACCAGGCAATAAAAAATGTATGTTTTGTAGGCTGTGCTGGGATTTGACACCGTCGCTGAGGGTGGAAAGGAGTTTTGGTTTTACAGGCTGGGCCCTCAGCTGGGAAGCAGCAGCAGCAGGCTCCCCACCTTCCCACAGGTCCACTTTGTGACCTGCTGCTTTTTGGTTTTCTCTCTAGAGGTTAAGAAAGGGCTCAGCGCTCACTGCCCCCCCAGTCTCACACCATCGGGGCTGGAAGCACAGCCAGTAAGCTCAAACATGTCTCCAGCTCTGCTCTGCGAGAAATTGAGCGTGTACCGGGGCCAGCGGCAGTGCAGGGGGGGCAGGGAGCAGCCCCCGGTGCTGCTCGGGCAGCGACGTGCCTGGGGCAGGGGCCCGGCCCGCTCACGGGCTCGTGTTGCCGCTGGAGCCATGGCAGTGCCTGACGCAGGGACGGCCGCATCCCGTCCACGTCAGGCCCCGGCTCTGGTCCCGCTGCTTCTGACTGAGTTCCAGCAGCGTGGGATGCAGCATTTGGCTCCCAGCAAAGGAAGCGAGCGCAACATAAAGCAGAGCATCCCCTCGTGGGATTCGCAGCGGGGGCCGGGCTGATTGTTCAAAACAAAGCATGGCTGCCTTGGAAGCGAGCCTGCTTCTTACCCCGGCATTCGCACACGAAGCCCCTAGCTGACCCACGCGGCAAGGCCCTGCAACGGCAGCCAGCGGGGCCGATCCCACCAGCTTTGTTCAATGTCCCCCGCCAAAGCCCGGAGGAAGTTTTTCCTTATGAAGTCAGGCAGGATCGTGCCACACTCTTCGCAATATGCTAACTTTCCAGTGAGCAGTTGCTCAATACGTGCTTAAGTAGACGGGCCACTACTACCCGTTAACCAAAACAAATGGGAAAGGAGGAAAGCTTACAGCACAACAATTGCTTTCAATTAGAGGAAATATCTATTGCCAAAACATGTCAGTGGGATTTGACAGACTACATTTTTAACTGTATACTACTGAAGGGCCGGCTGCACTAAAATGCAGCTTAAACTAAACAAGGATTTAAACCCTTCCCTTCTTTCTCATGGAATAATCACCAGGCTGTAAATACATTATTACAGTCCACACTGCCCTTGTTAATTCAGAGCGATTTGACTTACCTCAGTAGTTTTGACTCTATTCTCTTCCATGTTTGCAGGACTTGTTGAGGCTTCAGCACTGATGTTCATTAAGTGCTTTTAAGTGAAAGGGAAATGTGGTTAACTTTATAATTATTGTTTGCTTTGCACACCTTAAAACAAACCTAAGCATTTTGATTAAAACCTCACAAGTTCTGAGTCAACTCTCTATTTGGTGTGTCCAGCTCTAAGCACTCTGCTGCACAGAGCAGACCCGCAGAACAGCTCCAGGAACATCCTCAGCCTAGCAGGCCCTGCCACCAGCAAACCTGTGTGTGTCCCTGGTGGCACCCCAGCCCTGCGACAGGCCCTGTGCTGGTGCCAGCCTGGAGGCCACGGCCGTCACCTGCCCTGAACCCAGCCCAGCAGACGCCGCTGGACCCAGGGCCTGTGCAAATTCTTGGGCTCCTGCCAAGGTCAGCTCCAGCTTCAAGTCACTTGTCAATGCTTTAGCTCTAGGTCAGGCATCCAGCCCTTGCCAAACCCAGCCCAGCGCAGGGTCCCATAGCTTCTGTATCCAGCTGTAACACTGGCTCATGGTCTCTGCTAGCCCAGTCCCCAGCTGCTGTTAACCCCAGCCTCCCCATCTCAGCCAGTCCCAGCCACAGGCCCTGTTAAGATAGCCCTTGACAGCATCATCTCAATGACTTACCGTGTCAGTAATTACCATTCACAGCAATAAACTGAGCATATCAGCATCTCTAACCCTGACCCTGCCGGGGGGTCTCACAGCATTACCATCCCATCCTCCAGCACCCTGACCTCCACCCCAGGGCCATCCCACCCTGGATTCCAGCCAAGAGCCCCCCTCCAGCCAACCCGCCTGCTGCAAGACCCATGCCCTACCCCGCACCCTCACCTGGACACAAATTCTGCCCAGAACATGCCTGTGCCACTTCTAATAAGGGCAAGGTAACACCTGGCTGTTACGATAAAGTCCTCCTCAGCCTCATTGTTCTCCACATGGGACGATCAGGTCCTGCAGTTCTTGCACTGTGCCCTGGCATTTGAATGGAGACGCGGGGTCAGCTTCTTGCAGTATCTTACCAGTAATTAGTAGGTGTCAGTTACAAATGTGCCCATCCACTACTTTTTTACTAGGGAACCTAAAATACTTTCATACCTATATCTTACAGTGGCCTGCTATCTGCAATTCGTAGATAAATCTTTGATGTGTGGAGTCCAACAGCATATGTTTTACATTGGCTCTAATAGCTGTCTTTCAGTATAATGTCGCTTGTGGGGTGTCGTCTGGTATTGTATATTTTTGGACATATTGTAAACAGTGTGATTTCGTTCTTGACATTTCTGTAGTGACCTCAACAGTCTTAGAGGTTTACACATTTCTTATGTGCAGTCAACACATCCATTAATCTTAAAGATAAGCCAAAATTTAAGTCTCTCACACACATGTATATATACACCCCTCCCAACCCCCCCAAGGAAAAAAAAACAAAAAACAAAAAACACATAAGCACATACACATTTAAAACGCCAGCAAGTCCTATGTTGGACTGCTTGTAGCATTCTGGATTTTGTTGCAGAAGAGCACTAGCAAAGAGAGCTAGCAGGCAGGTTAGGCTGCCAATATGCTATGTAGAATAAGCATGCTTGCATGCATGTGAATGTATTTGCGCCTGAACTCACCACAAAATCAATATTGTAAAACAAACAATGTTTAAAAACTGCATACTAATGGAAACATTCACGTGACTCTTTAAACTAGAGAAAACAGCTTTTTCTTTGGATTATGAGGGTAGCCTGGTAGAAAGACACTCTTTGCTCTACACTCACAAGCAGTTGTGACCCTGAAACTGAGCAGCAAGACTGGTAAAGCAAAAAGAAGGGGCAACGTGCTGGTACAGCTGGGGAAAGTGAGAAAGAAGAGACAAACAAACAGCCTAAATAATTAAAACGACCTTTCAGAACTCACTGATTTAAAATGTAAACACCATAAAGACTGTACGTCTGACCCCTGAATATCAGCTGTTCCATCTTCCTAAGCAGTGGTCTTTTTGCTATTTTCACATCCACGTCTCATTGTACATGGGCATGCAGTGTATTTCAGGGGTTGTGGATGTCACAGGAGAACTCCCCCTTCTAGGGGGTCTTCTACCCCCAGCAGGACAGAATGAGTCAAACCAACAACGTCACCCTACCCGAGCTTAACACAAGGGACATGTTATAACAGAGTAGAGCAACCACTTCATTGAACTGGGGCCTCCTTCTCCCTGGAAAGGCTGGGAAAAGGGCATCAGCCCTATGCCTCGTGGTGTTCACCTGGGGACAGGAAAAACAAGCTTTAATAATAATGAGGGCTAACAAGCTGCAGGTGCTGGCTCTGTGCTGAAGGTGGCAGCCCAGGGGTGGGTGGCAGCAGGGTTTCTTCTGCAGGACTGGCATAAACCCGTTTTACTGATGTTGTTGGGACAGGTTCCGGCTCTGGCAGCTTCTGGGCCCTCCTGGAGCTGGAGCTGCAGACCCGCAGCTCCTGCCGCCTGCCTCGCAGCACCGACCCGGGGCAAGCCCCCAGCCCTGAGCCTCAGCCGGCAGGAGAGTCGACCCCGGGTCTGCTGGGGTTATGGCAGGAAAATGTGTTTCGCTAGATGACTCAGAGGACCTGTCATGAAATACTGGGCTTTTCCCCTCCCTCTCTGTCAGGCTCCTTCAGGCCAGGCAGCTACAAACGCCAAATTTTCTCCTACCCCAAGAGCTGCTGGTGTGCAAGAATTAGCCGATGGGTTTGGGCCAGTTCCCAGAGGAGAGACATGAGCAGCACTAAACCCACTACAGCTGGCACACATTAGGCTCTTGCCTGCAGCCCATGCAGAGGTGCCCAGGACAGAGCAAGCCACCGAGGTTTCCGTAACCTGGAATCTGACCTCGTAATCTTCTTATCTCCCTCCCGGTGCTTTCTGTCCTGTCACACAGAGAGCAGCTTGTCATACAGGGCAGATTCTTTTAACCTCCTTAATGGTACTTTTCACCTTCAGGGTCCTCTCATGCACAGGGTTTATCTTCTGATCGATATTACTCTTCTAAGTGATGTCTATTTAAACCCGTGTTTAAAAAGAAAACAGCAAAACTTACTTCTGGTTTCAATCAAAGCCATCAGTCAATTGCCCTGTTCATTTCAGCCTTGTTGAGCAGTGTTTAGCCTCCTCTGAGCAGCACTCAGAAAAGTAGGAGCCTGGGGACCGGTCCCTGAGCTGCTGCGCACGCTGAGGTTTCCTATCCCACGAGCAGCCCTGTTTTCATCGAGCCGTTTGCTAAGCTGTTCGATAATCACGGCTAGCAGGGACGACAGAGCGCGGCCCACAGCAAACAATATCTTTGTTTAAGGTCATTCCTGGGACTGCAGAAAGGAAGTGCACGTTGTTCCCAGCAGATCCAGTGTTTCTAGGGCTTTCAGTTAACCCATCTGTGGCACCAGTCCCCACTCAGCAAAACTGTACTGCGCTCCTCTCCCTCTCGCATGAGACCTGCAGAGTAAGCACTGCAGCAAGAGTGGCAGGATCTGGCCTGGTGGGTGCTCTGATGCAGAAGGTTGAATAAATATTAGTGGTTAAACTAGTAATTAACTCGCCGGTTGAAATATCCAACAGAACCCATGTTTTCCTCCCAGTTGATGCAAATGAGAGTTGATTGTAAACAACTCATGCCTAAATTATACCTTAGAGAATCTGAGTAACACAGTTGGCCTTGCCTGAATTATTTCAATGAAAACAAGGCAGACAAATGAGCGTAATTGCCCAACTTCTTTCATTTGCTAGCTTTTGCCTTGCTTAGAAACTCCTCCAGCTGGACATTCATGCCAGGTTTTGAATGTAAATGTACCTCTTGCCTCCAGATTGGCACTATTAGCAAACCTGTTTTTCTTTCCTTCTTTCTACACAGAAAGCTGGGGGAAGGGGAAGTAAAAAAGACAAGAGACTGTCTGTGGCCCCTGTGCCAAAGGAACATCACACTCCAGCTCCCAGACAATCATTAAAGGAACCAGTGGCCAATACTTTTGTTCCCGTGCTGGGGTCTCACACTTAATTAGCTTCAGATCTAATAGCTCTGATCCTACACAATAGATGGGGAAAGAGAGCAAGAGAAGCTGTATCAGTTCACTTGTGCCACTTCACTTGTTGCACAAAACTTTGCATCCGCTTTGCATGGGGACCTAATCACAACGACTGGCTAGAGCTCCTTGCTGCCAAATCAGACAAAAAGAGCCAAGGTCTGCTTGCTCCGAGGGGGCCAGCTCTTCCCTCTGCTCATGTGCTCAACCTCTGTGGACTCAGACAGCAGAGGGAAGCACCCCAGGAAGCTACTGCAGCATGAGCAGACCTAGGAAACGCCAGGTAGCCAGGGAAGCTGTCCTGGAGCAGCCACAGACCTGCACAATGCCCAGCAGAGGTGCAGACAGACACGGCACATTGCCCACTGGGCACACAGCTGGCTTCAGCTCAAGGTACTCTGGCTGCCCAGGTGTGCTCTGCTGTTGTGGGGTCTGATGACCCTCATCCAGAGGGACTGGGATACTCCACAGTCATCACACATGCACAGATGCTGAATTTTAGCCTCTGCTTTCATGCTGCCAACAGGTGGGCTCTGCTTGCTGTGACAGCAGGTCTGCGTGCGGTGCAGGAACAGGAATGCAAAAGCATCAAACGCCTTTACAGCAGCTTCACCAGCTCATCCTCACATATGTTGTTTACCAGGATTGCAGTACGGCTGCTGTGGGGAGCTGCTCGTTGCAAGGCCAGATTCCTAATTTGTTGGGAAGAGCTGTGGGGTTGTACTGGCTGCTCAGGACCAGAAGAGGATGGTTTGCAATCGCATGTTAATCAGCCCTAACACGGGCAATTGCCAAGAGAGCCACAAAACAGCCAGATCACAAGGTGGCCATACAGATCCCTGGCTCTGTACGTATCAGGAATGAAAAGGAAACGTTGAGGGCATTCGAAAAAGGGGTTTGTGCACTCATTGCCTCTTTCTTAGGGAGCAAAGTCTTGATTGCAAGGTATCTACTGATGCAAATATACTTCAGGAAAGTATTTTTGTTTTATTAGGGATAATTAAGAGCTTAGAAGTTTGACACACGATCACTTATCTCCCTGATTTGGGAAAGGAAGATGCTTCATTTTGAGCAGCACACTAAGACCTCTTCCCCTCAGAAAAAAACAAATCCAGTCTCCTCATCTCTTTTTTCCCTTTGCTGCACATTCATTGACTAATGAATTCTCACCAGCTGTAACATTCATCTTCACACTTAAATCAACCTTGTAAAAGTCTACTTGTCCATAGTGAGTAATTCTTTTGATGGGTGAGTAATTTGTCTCTGTGGAAGGGCTTACGTTTGCTTCATGTTTTTGCTGCTTGGGATAATGTGCAGTGGGAGTCTGGCTGTTTTGCATAATTGTATACTTTAACTAAGTGCCAAGGGAACTCAGTCAGGGGTGGGTAGTTTCATTTTTGTTATTAATGACAACTGAACAAATAAATACAAAATAAAACAATAAAATTTTACTTCCTTTGTTGTCCTCCCTCTCTCCCCACCCCCACTCCGCAACCGTCCCAGTAAAGGATGCAGTAGACAATACGATGGCTGGGAAACTTCCATGGCAATTTTTCAGGTGCTTCCTAAAATGTCTTCCATTAAGCATCCCTAGAGGTCCAGCGTGATTATCAGAAGGAAGGCGTCTGGTTGTTCTTTTGTTGTTGTTTGGTAGGATTTTTTCTTTCCTGTCTTCTTCCTTTTTCTGTTTCCTTCATCTAATGGCTTCTTAAGACTCAGCAACCCACATTTTTCCTTACAGAACACAAGAAATAACATCCCTCATTTTCACACTTCAGAGAAGAGACAAAAGAGACCTCTTGGCAAAATGTCAGATTGTGTGACTGATAACACCCCCAATCACTTCAGACTGTGACTTGTGGCTACGTTAGACTCAGATGTGAAAACAAAACACATACATTTTACGTTGACCACTTCACTTCATTCTATTAAATTAGGACTAGTCATTAGCTGGTGGAGATGGAGAAACATTTCCATCAAGAACCAGGGCAGGGGGATCGTGTCTGACATCCCCTCTCCTCCCTCCCCCAGCCTTCCAGCATTTTCCCTCTAGAGACATTGGTGTGAAACCAGCTCACATGACAAATTAAAGTGATTCATAACCCAGCTGTAGCCTTTGTTGACAAGCCCCATCACAAAGCAATCATGCAGATTTCATGCATGCAGAGCATGCCAGGAAAGAAGCCTGGTTAGCAGCATGGATGGTACGTTCCGAAGGGGTCTGAGACAACTTCGCTGAATTCATCTAGGGCACGTGAAGGCCAAACGGCTGTCACTTGACAGCAGTTAATAACATATCTTTAAAAGGGGTATTTTCTACACTAAATTAAATTTCCAAAACATTACCATACATCTTCAGCCTTATCTTTTTGTCTAGATTTTTGGCTCTATCAGTCTTCAGACACACAAACAGGGATTATACAGATAAGCCCACAGCATGGTTCATTCTGGCAGAGGCTTATCAATCACCGTTAATTAACTTAGTGGATCCATAAACTAGACAATTCAGCAGCAATTCCCTTTTCGCCACCCAGTTACAAAAAGCTTAGTGACTGTTTTTAGCACACATCCTCTACAGGCATCACAGAGAAACGCTGTGCTCAGCCCTATTTCAGCCAGCACACACGTGCACCATGTTCTGCTTTTCCCACTCTATGCCCTGTATTTTCCCTCCTTCAGGAGGGCTGGAGCCCACCACAGGTCGCATTCGTCTGCTTACAAGTTTAAAACCAAACAGACACACCGTTCCCTGCAATGCCCAGCCACTGCGGTCACAGGCACCCACCTAAACACATTGGCCAGCCAAGGGCCATGCCAGTCGAGCTCCTGTGCCACCTCACAGTGACTGGTGGCACTCTGGGAGCACTGCCCCAGATTTACCAACCTCAGCTCCCCAGGGCATGGGAGGCACACGCAGCAAGCACTACTGCAGTTACAGTGCTCAAAGGCCCCCCCCCAGAAAGAGGCAGTGTCGTGGGAGCTTCTCACATGCCTCACCTCACCCACCTGAAGCTCCACGGGATGCCCCCAGCACAGCCCTGGGCGCCACACACTGCAAGGAACCACACACACCTCTCAGCGTGGCCATGCTTCAGCGCTGGGTGCACGTAACTTCTCTTGGTCTTGCCTGACGATGCTCCTCGGGGCTGTTGTCCCATCCAACGGTGCTGATGGAGTGAGGTTATCACCTGAGCAGTGATGCAGATGAACAGATGTCTCTGCAGCCTCCAACCTGACCAGCTTGTGAAGGTGCCCTGATCCATGTCCGAGCTCCCCCCAACACCCCCCAGCTCTGCAGTGCCGTGCTTATGCCTAAGGTCTGGGCTCATGCCCAGTGCACATTTGGAGCTGGGTGCTTGTGAGACAAGGACGCTCCAGCGCAAAGGACAGCCTGGCTGTGATTGCCCCCCCTGTGTCAGAAAGCACGTGTCTTTTCTTCCCCTCTCCCCCAGACTGAGGCAAGTCCAGCTCAGCAGAGCCCAGCCCCTGGTGTTTATGCCCTGGCCAGGGCCAGCTTCGCTCCTGGTCGATGGCTGCGGCACCCCTCCTCTGGGAGCAGCCCTGCAGGAGGGCACCAAGGCCCTGCGACATGCTCGCTGCTGGGATGATGCGCTGGGACACTGGTGCTCCTCCTCAGGCCATGAGAGGGGCTAAAAACGGGACTATCCTGTCTGGGCTGCCACACCTGTATTGCACTGAATGGGTAGTGGTGGCTTGGTGCAGACCCTGGAGGAAGAGAGATTTTCACCACTGCCTCTGTTCCCTGCAGGACACAGCACAGAGGGAGCAAAGCAGCAGCAAAAATGCAGAGGAGGAAAATGAATGATTTCAAAATAATGACCCAGGCTGATTTTGACTCCGGAGTAGATGAAGGGAACTGAGCTGGGATCCGCTCCCATCAGATGGAAGCAAATTGGACTATTTCCCGGACAGATTGGCCCCAGCTGGGAAAGACAGAAAGAGCACAAGGAAGGAAGACGGTTCAAGTAGAACAGCAGCTCCAAGATACTGGCCGTTTTCAAGAAAGCCAGATTAGATATATTATCAAATCAACAGCATTAGACAAGGCTGGCAGTATCGGAGGAGCCAAGAGACAGAGCTTGTCAAAGCTGATAGTAAATCAAGGTGGAAAAGCACCAGGCTTCATCTGATTTTTCCCGAGCGTGACAAGAACCGCCCCTGCCCCAGCTCGCAGGGCAGAGGGGACGCGCCCGGGGCCGGCCCTGCAGCGCCTCGGGCAGCGGGCAGTGGGCAGGGGGCAGCGGGAGGGTCCGAGCAGCCACGTCGGGAGCCCGGCACCGCAGGACCCCGGAGCCGGGTCCGCAGAGCTGCAGCCGGCCCGGTGTACGCGGCTCCGGCTCCCTCTACCTGGCTGGAGGAGGGCTGCTCTTTCCAGGCTGCTTGGCAGGATGCCCTGAGGATTAATTAATGCATCCTGAGCCAGAGCTCTGAGCACGTTAGAGGCTTCACTGGTTAAAAAATAAAAATAAAAATAAAAAAATCAACCCTGCCCAGAGCTTCCTAGTTTGAAAGGGCAGGGGCGGATGACCTACATGTTGTGACAATGACCTGCATTGTCCAAATTCTGAACGTTTCCAGATGCTCCAGACGAAAATCAAACATTGCAGGGAAGCGCGCATGAGCTGAAAGCCAACAATAAAAAGGAAACAAACACAGCACTGATTCACGTGGGCTTGTTCCTAAGCAGCCAGGGGGCAGGGACCAGGGCTTGCAGGAGCACAGGTATATCCTGAACAGGTGTGTGTGACCCAGAGTTACTCAGCATGTTCCTGCTGAAGGAGACAAACCAAAGCACGCCTGTGGCTGCTCGCAGTGGAACCTCCTTCAGCACTGGCCAAAGATAGATCAGCAGTGGGAAAGGAAGTGAGTCAGAGCTGGAGTGTGCTGATGGAGAAGCAAAAACAGCACCTTTAAAAGCTGTGATCTGGCTTTGGACTACAGAGATGGCCACAAATGGCGGAAATGGGAAGTGTGGCAAGAGAAAGCCACTTGGCTCTGCTCTGCCCCTGCTCCCTGCTCAAGGCCCACGCCCACAGGGTAAAGACCCTGGCTGGGGTCCCGCGCCTGACCTCAGCCTCCCGGAGCAAAACCGTGTCTGCTCAGTGGGAGCTACAGTACTGCTGTGGGCCAGGGTGCTAAGTCCATGTGCAAAACGTGTTTAGGTGAGCCCTACAGGAGCTGTTATCGCTACCTACAAATTGTGCCTTGCCTATGTTTCCATACCAATTGTGGAGACTGGGCAAGTTCACCTTTCCCTCTCTTTTTCACACATTTTGTGCGTATCAGTCGGCATGGTGGGAAGGAAAAGCAGGCTGTCCCTGGGCAGCAGCTCGCCACACCAGCTGGCTCCGGGCCGCCCTGTGAGCACCCCCAGGAGCAGTGGGGCACCTGGCCGTGCCTGTACCCCCCCGGTCCCGAGCCACAGGCCCAGAGGCACCGAGTCTCGGCCTAAGGCCTCTGCTCGCAGGCGTGCTGGGTGGCGGCCGCGGGGCTGGGCTGTCCCTGCAGGGCCCCACCTGGGGGGCTGGGACACCCCGAGAGCAGCCGGGACACCCCCGTGCGCTCAGTTCCCGAGTTAGTGAAACGCTGCGAGGGGCTCGGTGGCAGCTCCTGGGACCTCCTGATGTGCCAGGACACGTCAGAAGGGTTTCTGGCAGAGCGGACCCCAGGTCTCCAGATCTGCTCTTGGCGACAGGGAGAGGGGGGGACCTTCGGGCAGCCCGGTGACGGCCGCGTGCTGCCAGCGCCCTGCCCGGGGCAGCCCGTCCGGCTCACAGCCCGCAGCCCGGGGCAGGCCCCGTTCCCGCACGGCGCGGGGCCCCTCCTGCGCCCTGTGCCCGAATTATCGGCACTGAGCGCTTGGCGGTGACCAGAGCCTGGGGCGAGGTGCGCGGCGTTTTTCTGGAGGGAGCAGCTGGAGGCGGCCGGACCCTGCCGGCCCCGCTGCCGCCGCGATCCCCCCGCGGCACCGGGAGCCGGGGCCTTGACAGCGCGCCCACGGCTCCGCCCTGCCCGCGGGGAGCCGCCGCGTGTCGTCGCTGTTCCCTCGCCTTTCACTATTTATCGTTAACCAGGAGCCGGCCCCGCAGCGCACACACGGTGCGTCTGTGCCCGCTCAGTGCCGGGCCGGGGCCGGGCCGCCTCCCGCCGCCTCCGTCCCTCCGCGGGCACCCGGGGCGCGGCAGCGGGGGGAGGCGGCGCCGTGTCCGGGCCGGGCCCCGCGGCTTCCCCGCCGCCGCCGCCAGGGGGCGCCAGAGACCGGCGCGGGCCGGGCCGGGCCGGGCGCTGCTCGGGGCACCCGCGGCGGCCTCGGCTGGGGGGAGGCGGCGGGGGCCCTGCGGGAGGGCCCCGAGGGGGCTTCTCGGCCGGGAGCTCCTCGGGTTCACGTGAATTCGAGGCGCGGCAGCCAAATCTTTTGTGGAGCGCTGGAGCTGAGAGCGGTCCGTAACCCCGTAACCCGCCCCCTGCTCGGGCACCCGTGCACCGGGGAGAGGGCGGGGGTCGGGCCCGTCCCGGGGGCACGGCCGCGGTGTCCCTGCACGGGGCGCTGCGCCCGGGCCCCGTCACCGCCTGCCCGCTGCCTGCTTATTCGCGAGAAGCAAAAAGGTCCGTCAAGAGCACGTTCTGGGAAGCAACATAACGGCAGCCCCTGGGAGGCCTGCAGGAGCACCTGCATCGCACCCCGCACCGCGCCGCCCCTCCGGCCAGCAGCACCCGGGGCTGCTGTTCCCTTGAAGACGTTTCCATGGCGAGACGTGCCGTGCCTCGTGATCCCCCAGGCAGCAGGATGTCCGTTTCCAAAATGCCCACTCAGCTCTCAGGGTGTGCCCGAGCGCGGATGACCGTGCTTCCTGCTGCCCGGCCCCCTCCCTGAGCAAACAGAGAGCTCTCGCTCCCTCCGATCTCACCCACAGCCCGCTCAGCTGGCTGCTATGGCACTTAAATGCAAGCCTGGAGGGGAGCTGTGCTGACCCGGAGCTTGCATTCACATCCAGGAGCTGGAGAAACGCGCAGGGGAGGTGCAGGCGCGGCAGCAGTGCCCGAACCTGCTGGCAAGGGGGTGCTGAGCGAGCATGTGGAGAGCCACTGCGGTGTCTGCATCGCACTCAGCTGCTTCACTGAGCTCCTACTCCCTCATCAGGGGTAGTGTTAGGCATCAGAATTCCTTAAACAATGAAGTTGGAGACAGGGATGTCCTTGAAGTTGTCACTGCAGATACTGATATTTAACCCTTTAAGGGTTAAGTGCTTTAGTGTGTGTAGCAAAGCAAGTTGAACATCAGCTGCACGCAGGTAACTCTACAGGGAAACCTGCGATGGGGAGGGAGGCTGAAAACCACCAGAGCTTTCCGTCCTCTTCTTGCTTTGCTCCTCAGGCAGCGTCTCCTATTCTGCTTCAGCATGACCTGTTTTGCCCCTTTGGCACAGGCCTGGTACAAGGTGTGAAAAGCAGAGCACGTGGACTCTTATTCCTAAGGTCAAAGGGAATCTTGTTAAGGACGTAACACCTCAAGAAAGCTGGTTTGACCAGGGGTGTTCCACTGCATACTAGCTCAGGCAGCAGAGAACCCACTTCCTTACGTTTCTGGTGACCTCTGAAGTCAGTGTGGGAGATTTCAATGGAAGCCAACAAACCACTAACCAACTCTTTAAAGGAGAAAGTGGACTTTCTGCTTGTTAAGGAACAACTTGAAGACACGTCTTGTCGTAGAGCACTGTTTGTTTGCCCAGATTTCAACAATCAACACATCATGTTTCCATTTGACCTGAAGGAGTGTATACTCCAGTGAGACAGGTCAGCTGTTCCTCCACATCCATGTTGCAACCCAGCATAGCTGTACCCTTGCTACAGCCTTGTTTGTCTCCAGGGACCTGGGTGGAGCTATCAAACCACTTCCCACATACCAACCAAAAGCTGAGTAATGACTCCTAATCCTCTAAATGGTGGGATTAAAACTGTTGGCTTGGATGTAGAAGGCCACCCTTGGTCTTTATGCCCTCTTGTTGATCCTGAGCCACATGCAGCAACCACAGTCAGCCCAACCAGCCCCTATCAGGTGACCCTCAAAAGAATGCAGACACATTAAACCTCACAAGCAACACCCACGTCCTATCCTGAGTCAGTTCTAGCAAAAGCAGGCCCATGCACTTGCTTCATCCATAACCTGCTGGAATTTGCCTTGAAAACAGTTGTTTTTGCGTTTTCATCTTTTTGTATCTTTTGCAGCATTTGTGTCTTTCTGTGAAAACATAAAAATCTCCTTCCCTTAAAGTTTTTGCCATTCCCTTCTTGGTTCTTTGCTCTCAAGGCCAGCTCACCAAAACCAAGAGGAATGAGTGTTTCCTCTGTATCAGTGAGAAATCTGCCCACTCCCAGCTCGTACAAATACTAAAGAATTGAAAAAGTCTGCAAAACTTGGTAGACAAAATATTTATACTCACAGTGGTGGTCCAACCAACACCATAACGCTCTCTGACCTTTACTCAGCACAAGAGGGAATGGGTTGCTGGTTAGTGACTGCAGTCCTACCAGCTGAATTTTTCCTCTTCAAAGCTGAGCTGGGGCCAGGACCTGCTCCATGACAAGCTCCACGTGAGAAATGCAGGTGGCTAGAAATGCACCCTCCTTTGCATGTGCAGCCCAGCACTGAGCTGATCCTGCAAGCCCAGTAAGGAAGAAGGCCGAAGACGAGAGAGCCAGCAGCAGGGCCATCTCCGCTGGGGCAATCTGCGTTACAGACAGGACCAGCTCCTTCTTCAAAGACAGCTCTCGGGCAAGTCATTTCCTCTAATTGTGCCCACCGTCCAGCTGAGGCTTACAGCACTGCAGGTCAGGAGGGCAAACAAACCCTGTGACATGCACATGGTACAGACTGGTCAGATACCTGTGGGAACAGCAGTGACCCCCGTCCAGGGGCTGCCCCAGGCTGTGGGAGTATCAGGGGACTGGAACAAAAGGGATGAAAATAATGCAGTGATGTTCCTCCTTCTCCTCCGCACCAAACAGCCAATTTATTCTCACCAGGGCCAGGTGGTGTATGGCTGCACATGGGATGAAGTTTGATAACCGGATTTATGGAGACCTTGCTCAAATTTGAAGCTCTCAGAGCTCAGCACACTTTTTACACCCTCCCTCTTTTTTCTTGATCCCCTCCTTTAGCACCCATGGAAACATGCAAATTAGGCCAGTGTTAATAGCTGAGGTCTTTATTTAAATTTTTTTATATACAGTAAAAGTGTTGCAGATAAATCTGCAACAAACATACAAGACAAATGTAAATCTCTCTCAACAATTAGCAGCTTAAGATCTATAAACTACAGTGTTACGTTCACAAGTGTCATTTCTGTACTTTTCAATCCGTGCAAGTGAGTTTTTCTGTTTATTTTTTACACTTTTAAAACACACTTACAGCTAAGTCAATTGCCTACTACTATACCACCTGGCATACACAACACAGACACACGGGGTTTTAAACTCTTTAGCCACATTCAGAATTCACTTAACTGGTAAAACTACCCAATCTCGAACCCCTTTGTAGCTTGGCTTCTTTTGTTACAATGCTGCCTTTTTGTTTAATTTAAAAAATGCATATTTTTCAAAGCTGAAAGACAGTGCTTTTCTGTCCCAGTGCAACATGTACAGAACTCAACATTTCATCTGATCAGACCTTAAAAACTCACAGGACTGGAATAAACCGATGAAATAATTGCTGTGAGCATGCTCAGAATCATTAAACTAAACTAATGAGGCTGAGAGGAAAGAGAACTTCGTAAAATTAAAAACGTTTTTTGTTTTTTGCATCAGTTTTTTTTTCTTTTCTTTTTTACATTGACAAAGCAAATAGGGGAAAACAGATGAACCACAGAATTTCACTGAGGAGCTGTTGCTTTTTTAACATAGTCCATTATATTCTTCCCTTTTTATATGCCAAGTTGATATGTTCTAAACATATCTAAGCAATTTCAGAATTGTTTCAACTCTGAATATGAAATGTTTTGGGAAACATTCTGCTACTCAGAGATGGTCACTAAAAAGTTTACATCCATAAGGAAGGCTAATAAAAGGTACTCACACATGCACACTCGCATCCATGGTGGAAACTGTCTTCGACATGTCATCCAGGAATGCTTCATCAAGAAATCAAACAAAACCACTTACAAGCAAAGGGAGCTTTAAAGCTAGAATCACATTTCCAACAATATAATCATTGTTAAGCTATCAGAAATCATCACAGACCTTTGAATTGAAGAGGGAGGAAAACCCCAAAACATTCTACTAATGCAAAAGGCAAAACACATGGCAGTTCTGTTAGGATATGAAAAGTGGATGCAGCATCATATATGGCATTACTGCAGACAACTTTCTGGAATGGAAGAAACTGTCGAGAGAGAAAGAGACAGACAAACAGACATTGTCCAGAACCATATATACATGGCCTTCACCGAACAGTTTTGAGGTGTTAAGTTTCTATTAAGCCTGCACCTTCTGGCAAATTATCAAATGGCATTTTCTGAAAATGATGCAGTTGAGACACTAAATGAAATTTTGATATAAAGAAGGACAAACACTTCCTTTGAATACTACAGATGAGTGGCACTAAGCGTCCAAATCCACTGGCTTTCAACTCCCTCCTGCTTTGACCACATAAAAACCTACCATCAACTATTTAGTGTGATCAAAACTGAGAAAAACACAGGTGCGAAAGCTAGGTATCAGAAATAAAGGCAACGGAACTTTTCAACTACACACCAATTCATTTCTTATGTTATCCACACCTTTGGTTCTGACAAAACCTATTTAATGGGAAGAAGACAATTATCCACGTAATTTGAATCAGCCAGAGAAAGGTGGTAAACAGAATGGAATTTCACTTGAGATAGAAGCATGGTCCAGATAGGGAATGTTTATGCAATCTTTGCTCCATCTGCAACTGTGGAAAGAATGATTATTTTTGGCTTGACTAAGTTGCAATTGGCAATTTGCGTTTTAAGTAGGACAAGAGCAGATTTGCGCATATGGTGACAAAGGCAGGTGTGCTGGAATCCCTGGGGGGGCGTACCTGAGTTTACTGTGACCATGGAAAGAATACACAGAATCTCTGAAGGAAGAAGAATGGTTGAACAGTGGAGGGCTTGCCTCTGCCATCAGTCAGAATACCCTCAAGGCTGTTAACCTATTTTGGGGGAATCTCTTGAAGTTCAGAATTTGCATCAGAGCATAAAGCGTTACATTTATATATACACACACATACATATACATATATATCATGTACATGTTCCATGTATGTATATGTATGATCTCAACTGGTGTAGGTCACAGGGGCAACATTTGTTTCCTAGACAGAATTTAAGCCTAGAAGGAAGAAAACCAGCAAGATCTAACTAAACACCATAAATGGTGTTGAAAGAGAGTCCTGGAGTCCTTTTGGATTTCACAGAGATGGAATTTGAATCTTTATGTTGTTACAGTGGAAAGGGGCACCAATTAAAAAATATATATATATAGTGAATCCAGATTCCTTGGATGTGAAGCCTGACTGCCAGTACCAACAATCAGCAAAGCATGCTGCCGGGACTTGGCAGCTACAGTTGAAAATGACATTTCCTTTAGAGCTTTGAAAAGGAACCTACACCAAGTACTTGCCCTTGCAGCTAAAGAAGAGGATGCTGTCTATGGCACACTGCACTGATACAATCTACAAAGAAGATTGCTACAAACACACACAAGTGATCTTATCAGAGCCTGACAGGAGGAAAACTTTGGTTTCAATTTTTAGGAGTTTATCTAAAAGTTAAGTCAGAGTGATTTCCGAGACAATCGTTCCTTTAAGTGGACTGTTGAATCGGTATTTCTTTCCTTAAAAGAATCCGTTTGTTCCCTAGGAAGGGATGAAAAGAAATTCCTTATTCTTATCCTGAGGCCAGGAATGAGAGATGATAACGTGAGGAATACAAACATATTGTCTTTCACATTTGGAAACAAAAACCAAACCGAACAAACAAACAAAACCCTGCATGACAAGAATGTGTGGAGAAGATAGATGTTTTTCATGATGCTGCATCTGTATGCACAGGAGGACAGGTAAATGGCATATGAACATCACTGTGTTCCAGACAGGCTGGCACTAGAAACTACTTTCTGCCCTCCTCAAAACTGTTTCAGGACAAGACGGCTCACAATTATTCACGCATTTCTTCATTTAAAAACATCACTTCTTTATTTAAAAGGAAAAAAAAAAAAAAGTAATGACCCTCCCAACCCCTTCCAAAAAAAAAACCCCAATAATAATAATAATAATTATAATAAAAAATCCTATATTAGAAACAATAAGGAAGCACTGAGAGTTTGAGTATTACACTCTTCAAGTATGCTGTTTGGATTTTTTTTAATCTGTGAATATACATATATAAAAAAAACCTTAAAAGTGCGACCAAGGGCTTCTGCTTAAAGATAAGTATTTCAAGGACTACTTCAAATACTGTAGCACAACTGTGCAGTTACTGTGTATGGCATGAGGCTTCCACTTCATATACTTGGCAAAGTTGATCAGCCTTACAGAAAGTTTCTCTAAGACAGGTTAGCACAAATGGCAAACCCAGATGCTGAGTTGGGAAAGAGATCCATGCGTTGTTTTTTCTCTTGTTAAGGAAAGAAACCACTCTGAACCCACACATTTGGACATGGAATGTGAGCAGACTTCACAGTAAAAGTTTAGTGTTATAGGTTTGCTGTGGTACCATCCCTCAAGGCTGTGCACTACGTTTAGCTTTGCTCATCTTAAGTTAAACACATTCTCCTCTTCCTGACAGGTTTAGTACAGTAGTTCAAGCCACAATTTAAATTGCCCATTGGTATGCTCCAAATTTCCGTGTTTTATTTATTTCTTTTTGTACACTTTAAAGAATCTTAAGATTTGCATCCAAAGAGAACCATGCTACATAAAAATTATCCAGGATTCTCGCCAAAAAAGAGTTCTTGAATAAAATCTAAAAAATACTATTGCAATGCATCTTGCAGAGAAAAAACGTTATTCTAAATGTAAACAAATTCACTCGGACACTTTAAAACTTCAGCGGAGTAGTTGCTGACTAATCTTTGCCACGCTTGCTCACTGAGCGTGATGGGAGGGGAGCGACGCAGCCAATTCCTCATGCCATCATCTGGGGGGAGACAAGAACCGTTCCAAGTAGCCAGAGATGGCATCCCAGTGCTTCCACATAAAGGCAATGAAAACCACTATGAATAAAGTGCTGAACGTCCTATTGCGAGTTTTCATGAGGGGCACGACACAGTTGGCCACAGTGGAGACGAAGACGAGGAGGACTGCCATGACAGCTAGGAGGATGTTGATGAACTTCCCCAGCAGGTTCCTGGCTGTGGCATTCTCCAGACCCTCCAGCTGCACCACCTGCTGCTGCTGCTGCTGCAGTTCCATCTTGGAGATGCGGGTCTGGCACGCTTCCAGTGCCTCCTGTCGGCAAGAACACACTGCTCGGTTGCCAGCACCCTACACGCCCACCCCCGTGGTGGTCCATGGCACTCATCTTACTGACTAGACCAGACCACAGCCACCCTCCTCATGCACTCTTCTGCAGGATATGAGTCACTACGTTGATTTCGTACCCTGCAGGAGGAGTAGAAGAGGCTGTGCCGTTTCATGTGATTGAGGAGTCCCTCATTAACTAGGTACTGCAGTTCATAACAAAACTTGTGATCTCATTTACATGACAGAGGCTTGACAGAGAAAGGTGACAGCTTGGGCAGAAGCCAGCCTTTGTTGAAACACGCATTTCAGATGCCACTTTGCAATGTCAGCTGTCTGTCCCTGTCGGTGGTATAAAGGTCACCTGAGAGCTCATCATCCCTCCTGTGTTGTGGTCGGACCCAGATGGAGGAGGACACCAATAGCCCTCTGCAACCAGACAGCCTCCATTTGTCTGGAAAGCAGGGGCTACCCAGTGGGCTGCTCACCTCAGCTTTGGTTTCAAGAGACACTGAGGGCACAAAGGCGCTGTGTCCAGCCAGCACGCTTCCTCTTCCACTCTGTTTGCTTACCAGAGCCTCTCATTTCCATCAGTTTCTTTCCCCTGGCTTGTGCTCGTCTGACCCCTCTGTGAGCCCAATCAATTCTCTACTGCATCTGGCAGAAAACTGGAGTCAACAAAGTAACTAATCAAAGAGGCTCAGCCTCATTCTGCTTGGTTAGCAAGCTGAATGAGATCAGGGAAGGGTCTGAGAGTGCCAGGGCTGGGATTGCACAGCTGGTGTCACGGGAGGAAGATCTCCCGAGTGCAGCAACCCTTGGCAAGTGGGCCATCGTGCAGCAGGTGGGCTACTGACAAGCAGGAGGGGTTTTAGGGCAATTTGCAATGGCACATTTCTGCTCATGGAGACAGAAAATTACAGTTTTGCCCTTAATCTTCCCTCCGAACTGCTTTTCTCATGACCCTAAGGCCAATGTTGGGTAACAACCAGAAGTCTGCAGAGAGCAGCAGTGTCCCTCAGACTGATGTTCAGACAGGAACCAGGATGTTCTGCCTACAGACCTAGCTCCGTCAACTGTTCCTCTGCAACATCAGCCAATGCTTGTAGCTGTTCTTTCATGCAAGAAAACTTAAGGCTTACCTTTTCCTCAGCAATGCTGAGGAATAGGCTAAACCAATTTGCAAGTTTGCACTGGAAGTGCTGAATCATAAATGAAGATTAAAAAAAGCTATTGAGAACCCCCTGCTTCATTTTAAGTTTCCAATCTTACTTCTTCCTGCTTTATTAAATGAGAAAGGAGAATGAAACCTGAATATTACAACATTCTTCAGAGAGGCAGCTGTTTACGGAGAGAGGCCATGGCACCACTGTCCACAAACACTGATTTATTTTAAGCTTAACCTAAAGGTCATTGTCACCTGTTACATTTCTCTGCCATTGCATAATGTCTGTTAATGAAGCATGAGGCTTCTCTTTAGTTATGTTACCTGAAAGTAATGGGTAAAACTGATCAGCCTCCTCAAACAACCAGAAGCCTGAATGCACATCAACTCAACACAATTTGCAGCTGGACCCAGAAGTGTGACAAAAGCCAAGCCTCCTTTGTTTAAGAGGAGATCACCTGGCTGAAACTTCTCTGGGGGCCAGAAGCAGAACTTTGACCTACAGGTCTCTGCTCACACTACAAATATCTCACGTTGGCTTTCAAAGCTGAGATGCCTGCTACAACTAACATGACAAGGATTTAAAATAAATGCTAGACTTGTTTCTGAATAGGCCTTTATAAGGTTTAGCTGCTTCATTTCCCAGGTCTTTCATTCTGTGTCTGTCTGCCTGGGTCTGTGGAAGGCCCTACAACTGTAATCTCTATTTCCATAGCTTTCGTCTTTCACACACTGAAGAACACTTCTCTTTTAAAAAATCTCCGTATTTGGGCCAATGGAAAACCAATGGAAAGAATTGTTTCCTGACCAGATACAGCGGATACATGAAACCAGCTTCCATCTTCCCTGAGACATCTGTGGTGATTGCTCTAAAATTTGTGACACACAAACACACCCTAGATCAGTTTACCCAGAATGCTACTGTAAAAAAATATTCAGGTTATAGTTAGTTTCCAATATCCAAAGAAAACCCTGCAAATATAGGCAGCATGAAGAGTGGATGCAGGCTTCCACTTTGCTGTAATCATTTAAAAACCCTTCGCTGGACCAAGTGGTGGGGCCCCTCAGAAGATGAACTTGCCTGCTGATGAATACACACAGCACTTCTTCACAAAAGAAGTTACTCTGGGAGATGCCTGAGGGTCAGTGACTGAATAAAGACCTTTCAGTTATTTTTAATATGCAGTTTGGGAATAAATCTACAGCAATTAAAAACAAGTACTAAATCAAAGAAGTATTTCAAAAGCAAAGCAGTTACTGAAAGGGCAGGTGGAAGACTGGACTTCAGTGCCCTAGTTTCTGCCACCCACCTGGATGTCCCGGGCTCGCTCATAAGACTGGTAGGCAATTTTCTCCTCCATGCTGGCCAGCTCCTGTTTTAGATTCAGGATCTCATTCTGGTGGAGCTCAGTCAGGTCGTTTAGCTGCTCTTCAAGTCTTTCACATCTAGAAATTAGACACATGGTACGGTGGCTTTAATGACAAGAGGAACGCACAATTACACAATAACAGTTGAGCAATGAACACCACAGACTTTTTATTGAAAACCAGAGCAACAAAGTTGGTGAAGGGTCTAGTGGGAAAAAAGTATGAGGAGCAGCTGAGGTCCCTTGTTGAGCGTGGAGAAGACCAGGCCGAGGGGAAGCCTCATGGCGGCCTGCAGCTCCCTCAGGAGGGGAGCGGAGGGGCAGGCGCTGAGCTCTGCTCTCTGGGGACAGCGACAGGACCCGAGGGGACAGCATGGAGCTGGGACAGGGGAGGGTCAGGCTGGGGGTTAGGGAAAGGTTCTGCACCCAGAGGTGGTCAGGCACTGGGACAGGCTCCCCGGGGCAGTGGTCACAGCACTGAGCCTGCTGGAGATCCAGGAGTGTTTGGACAACGCTCTCAGACACATGGTCTGATTTTGGGGTGGTCTCGTGCAGAGCCAGGAGTTGGACTTGGTGATCCTTGTGGGTCCTTTCCAACTCAGGATATTTTCTCATTCTATGATTCTAGTGTGGCTACCTCAATTGCTATGGAAGTCTGCTTTGCAAACAATATAAGGCCTTCTCACTGGGAATTAAGGACATTCTTTCTAGCAGGTAAGATAATGTTAATCCTGCTTCAAGCCTGGGCAAAAACAAACAGAAAGGTCAAATGACAATAGTCAAGTGATAGAAGAAATCAAGGACAGAATTAGAATATTTATTCCCCGAACCTCTGTTTTAACCAGACTAAGTTCCCTTCTAATACCGTAAACTCTTAAGCATTTTCATCTATACGTAGAACAGTAATTGTGCAAAAATGACTATGAAATAACATGTGACTGATGCTTCGGAGAACGTGATGGCCTTGTCTGGTCTTTCCATGTGAGGTCACAGAGATGTCTGATTTATTTTTTTCTTTATCTCCTTTGAATGATTCAGCTTAACTAGCAAAGATCATTGTGTTATTTATAAGAAGGGAACATGAATCACTAACCTGCAGGCTCATTTTTCAGTTTGCTACAGTGAATGGACCATGAGCAGTTTGGAGGCAGAGGTCTGAACAAAAAAATGAGTAACGACAATTCTGATAAAGTTTTAAACTGACTTCAGTGATAGTACCATGTTATTTTAGCACTATCAAAATACATTAGGGATATTTCATGTCTGTATGTAGCACTGAATTTTTGAAATGTCAAGTGCTTTGCAAGCAACTCATGTTTCAGTACCCTTTAAGGATGAGGCAAGCATTTGTCTTTCTTTTAAAAGGCAAACATGCTCAGAGAGCTTAGGTCACTAGCTCAAGGGTCAGGAACACCCATCTAGGTACCATCCACACCAGCCTCTTCCACCATGCTCCTCACTAATTTCTCATTATTTGTCCACTGTCAGTGATAGCTCTGACAGCAACTAAGATATGGGTACAACTGTTGTGGCCACCAGGCTTCTCCTATGCTCATTTGCACTGTCCACTCATTGTAACAGCACAGAACAACTTTACAGTACAACTATTATCACCTGACTCTTGATACCAGCAATAGAGAAATTTGTAAGGAATTCAACATGGATAATTTCTTGTTTTAATTTCAGTTCCCCTCTGACCCTATCTGAATTTTATATCTACATGCATAAAATGAATAAACAATATTTATCTACAAACAAGAATTTAATTAAAAGTTCTGAAACTGAAACAAAAATCCTTTTTTTGTTTTTAATTCCAAGATTTCTGGTGCTTCATGAATGAAATATTCAGAATCTGCAGGCATAAACTAGTTCTTAACAATGTTCTTGGGCTTTTGTTTTTAACTGAGAAGTCTAAAGAGAATTTTCATTCACATTCCCAATGTAATATTCCTTTAATCTTGAAGGAGGAGTCAGGTGTAGTGCGACAATTTCCAACAATGAAATATGTGTGGTCAACCAGCAGCCAGACTCAGACAACCACCTGCTGACATGGCTCAGCCCAGGATGGTGCCAGAGTCTCTGTGCAACCAAGGCAGGACATGCAAGAACTGGTTTCCCAGGAACTACAGGCTGCAGACATGAGAACAGCCATGTGAAGACTGGCTAATGAAGAAGGAGCCTGGATAATTAATATTGCCATTTGTTCCCACCCAGTTTAAAAAGAATACAAAACAAAACTTGCCAACAACTGAGAAATCATAACTAAATTCACTCAAAGTCCCAAAGGCAGCATTAAATTACTTGAAATATATTCAGCTAGTTAATGTAATTCAAAATTCTCCATTGAGTTTATTACACAAAAAGGAGCTTAAGTATATCTGAAAATACCATTGATTATGTTTTTTAACCTTCTCCCACATAAACACCCTTCACAAAACAGCTGTTGCCAGGCAGCTTATATCCTGTTCTTTAACAAGAGACAATTTTATTTCAAGAACTTCAAAACTACCTCAATCTACACGAAACATAAGGAAACCCTTCAAATCCATATAGTTAAGATTTTAAGCAAAATTCTTAACTATATGGATAACATGATTATCAACACATGATTTTGCTAACATAATTAGCTAAAAGGCTGGCTCCGGTCTTCCCTGCCCAGAAAGGTGGACTACTGCCTTGTTCCAGAACCTAACTTAGTTTTCCAAGGAGTCCCACCTGCTCGACTCAAGAGCCTTTACAGTTTGCACACAACAATCATAAGCCTTTTTTTTTTTTGTAGACAACTGCTGGAATTGGGTTATTAGAAATAATAATAATAATAAATGACTTATTTTTGAAATTATATATCCTCTGTTCATCTCCTTTTCACTCCTAGTCCCATTATCTACAATTTAGAAAATGTCTTTTTTCCACAGTTTTATATGGGTGTTCAAAACTGAAAAGCTAAAGGGGGATCACATGACTTACAGGGCTGGAAGCCAGGGTTTTCTGTTGAAGGATGGTTCAGATTCAGTTTAGAGGCATTACAAAAACAAAAGGGACAAGATGTCTGCCAAAAGGGTTAAGACTACACTCATACATCCCTTTCCAATGTACAAGTATCAGCATCTTTGCAACAGACTCTAAACCTGCCTGTGAAAATAGCAGTGCCTCTGCTGAGCAAATCCCATTCCATTCCAGGTACTGAAAGTTCTCATTAGAATCTAAGATTTATTTTATCACTACCTAAAATGGGAAATTTCCCCTTAAAATTACTACAGTATACAGTAACAAGCTATAACTCAGAAACTTTCCTATGTAATAGACGAGTGATAATCATCATACATATTTCATTATCAGAGATGCCATATGGAAGACATCCAGTATACTGTTGGGGTGTTTGGCTAAAGTATGGGATACGGAAATACTGTGTTTAGAAAAGTTGTATCAGATTTCCACACATTTTCTGAGGCTCACTGTTTGGAAATCAGAAAACTGACTTGAAAATGACTGTGGAAAACAATTATTACAATCTCATTTTTTAAGCACTTTTAGGCATTTTCAAGTAACAGCTGCAAAATACACAGCTAATACAGCATATTTATGGGAGATACATGATGATGGAGACATTTTATCTGTACTCAGTAAATGCTCCAGCAAGTAAAGAAACTGACTGAACTCATGCTGAAAGATCTGTACAGCACACAGTGAACTGAGTTTAATACCTCTCTCCTCAAACATCTCTTAAAACTTTTTTTTTTTTTGGTGGCTATGTTATACAGAATCTCCTCTAGCCTTTATTTGTCATCCAAATACATTTTTTATGCTACTGAACACACTGCTATCCATAGCAGAATAATAGCTAAAAGCAATATCTATTTGCAATGTACTCCATGTCTTCTAGCTAAAGGATACGCAAGGGACAGAGCTTGCTCCAAAGGAATACTCTGTGCCAGTATTTATGCCGTGCTTTCAGCTCCAAAGCCTTTCCTGGTGAGAGAAAAAAGCTCTGCAGGAATGGTTCAGTGCTTTCGTACCTGGGTGAGGGTCCTACACTGAACACGCAGCTTTTGAAATGTTAGCACATCTGATCTATTTGAAAATAAATGAGAACAGACTGAAGCCCAGTGATCAGACTGTAACAAAAATGAAAGCGCAAGCTTCCAGCATTTTGGCTGACAGATTTCTGTGACAGGAATGTGAGAGATTTAAATGCACTTTCCAAGGATGCTGGGTTGGGCAGAAACCCAAACCCTCAGACTGGCCACACTCCAAATGTGTGAGCTCATGGATTTCACTGTGTACAAACAGGTTCCTAAAGGGACAAGAAAGATGAAAATATTCAGCAGGAACTTTATTTTGGTCTCAACAGCACAGAAAGTCCTTGCTCGTATCAGTAAACAGCTGCCACCCTCCAGCCGCCGCGATAAGCAGCTGGCCGTCCCAGGGCAGAGGGCAGCACAATGGCTGCGGAGGAGCAGACCGGGATCCCAGAGGCCGCGGAGGCGCAGGCCGGGATCCCAGAGGCTGTGGAGGCGCAGGCCGGGATCTTCCTTCCCCGATGATTCAGCGCCGGCAGTGGCGCGGTGCTGTGGGGCCAGCCGCTCTGCCAATGGGCGGGCAGGGCCGGGCCGGGCAGGGCCGCGCGCCCCCGCGCCCCGCAGCGCGGAACCGGGGTGGCTGCAGCAGCAAGGCCCTGCCCTGCGGCCGGCTGGGAGCCGGGCCCACTGACAGCAAGGTCCCGAAGCGGGGCGAGACAGGGAGGAGATGGAGCAGGGCACGGAAAACCTGCGAGGCAAGCCACGGCCGATAAACAGAAGCTAAATGAACGCGCAAGGAAAAAAGACTAGAACCTGCAAAAAAAGCAGAAAGCCTAAGAAAGAGGAAATGGCTCAAGACTGGGTGAGAAATGGTCCAGCACTCGCTTCGTTCCAGCTTCCAGGTACAATACAAACAGTGCAGCCCTATGAGCAAAGGCTTCTCTAAAATAATTTTTTTAAACCTTAACCGGACTCGGTGCCTGTTTTTGAACACTTCCCAGAAACAGAGCAGAGCTGTGAGGTATTTATAGCTTCTAAAGCCAGTTATGATTAATTTGAATCCCCAGCCTCAAACCATGACCTCCATTTCTATCTTTCCCTTTTTTTTTTTTTTCTGAAGAGAGATGAAGAGTTACTGGCCAGAGGAACAGGGGCTGGCCTCCTCAGACGAGGCAGCACCGTCCTCCCAGCCCTCACGCACACCACATAGCCTTCCATTTCTCAGGGGAATGCTGTCTTCTATCTTCATGATATTTTAGAATATGGAAGCTATCAGACAAGAACCTAGATTTGTACACAAGGTATTTTGCTCAATGTGATTAATCCGTGAGCTCCTTGTGGATCGTGCAGTTACCTGCTTTGAAAGCTTGTAGAGACAAGAGCACTTAGTGTGGTTCAACTGGTCCTTTTTAAAGGTCACACCTTCAATTAATTTGCATCAGCTTTCCAAATGGCAAGTCTAAATCACTATCGTTTTATGCCTTTATAAGCTAAATGCATACTCTCCTGGAAGCTTTTCACTCCAGGCTGCCTCGGTTAGGCTATGGGCTCACCTTCAAGGTAGCACTTCATACTGGACTCGTAGGAGGACCTATGTGAACCTTGCTAAATGGTTTCAGGGAATAACTAGTCAGTTTAGCTGACAAGAGACATCAGTCCCCAACCAAGGTCTTTTGTTTTAATTTCAAGCCACTCCTTCAGTTGGACTGTGCTTGCATATAGCGTTCCACTATGAATGGCTACTGCTGTATGTGTGAAACAACAACCTACACAGCACCAGACAACAGGACCCCTCTCTGCCGGGGTGCAGAAGATCAAACTCTACATCGCTTCACAACGTGACTTCATGACAATGAAGTACTAGGAACCAAAGTTGCTGTGTTAGGCTCCGGTTTCAGTGAATCGCTGATGGTTGCAACGTGGGATTAGAAAGTGATGTTGGTCTGGCTTTGTCTAGCCAAGCTTTGCAAAACACACAGAAAGCCTGCTGTCACTACAAGATCCTAGCAGGCTAAGCCTTTTCAAATGTTTTTCCAATGATCTGGCACCAGCATGTCTGAAAAGCTGTAGGGTGACTATGTAGCACCGTGCAAACCAACACAGCAAATGGCACAGGGTACTTCAGAAAGCCTGTCCCCACACCCAGCAGCTGCACCGAGTCTCAGTCTGTGCTTCACAGCCTGGTCTAACTGGTGAAGGCTTCAAACAAGCTCCTTACAAAGGCCTGCTGTGCTCCATCAGAATGAGGATTTGGGTGCCTTGAATTTTTTATCTCAAGTTCTGAAAGTGCAGTTAAAGAACCACACTGAATTTAGGTCCTGAAGGGCTGGCAGAAGGCCACACTCCCTCTACCCACCCCAACAGGAGGCTGGGGAGCAGCCCCTGCTCCCAGCATGTGATGGGGATGCAGCACAATCTGCAGGGCAGCACGGGGACAGCCTGCTGAGAGCTCTCACTGCCAGCGTGGGAGGAGAAGGGAAGTCGTTCCCCTCAGGAACTGAGGTGGCCAGAGGTGGTGGCTGCCATACTGCCAGGCTGCCCCTTGTCACACCCAGAGCCAGGAATTGGTAGCACCACAGCAGCCCCACCACCTTCCCATCCCTTCCAGCAAGGGGAAGACAGATCAGAACACCAGGTTACCCACTTCCAGAGCCACATTACCTCTGCAAAAAGAACAGAAGTAACAGCACATTACCATGCCATTAGTTAACATTTAATATTTCTTTGAACTCTGCTGCTGTGGGGCAGAGCTGAGAAGAGAAGGGAAGGGAACGTAAACAGGAACCTAGTTTTGGTGTATGAGTGTGTCTTTTTGGAGAGCCTTAAGAATTCTGGTTATTTCTTTTTCTGTTAGATGTGGATCTGAGCAGTGGAGGAGGCAGAGTCAGGATGCTGCCCATTTGTACCCTCCTGAACCTTGCCTTGTCTCAGACCTTTGTGGGCTTTTTCCTAGGTAAAGCGCTTCCTGGGTAACAGTCACTGCATCAACGTACTCCTGTTTTCTGGGCACACCGCCTTTCTAAACTTCTTTGGCTTGACTTTTTATCTCAAAAGAACTATGAAATGACCTTTTAAATGGCCTTTTTTTTTTTTTTTTTTCCTGTGTCTTTCTTGTAGAGAGAAGGAAATGAACAGCAGGATCATGATATTTGCAAAGCACGATGTTTGGAGGGCAAAATCCAAAGATGACTCCAAAGCTTCCTACTTGAACCAAGCTGCTGAGTACTACTATCCAGGACTCCCATGCTCTGCAACTCACAGTATTTAACAGAAAAACTAATAAAACAGTACTTACCTGTACCGCTCCTCCTGCAAAGTCTGCATTATTAACGAGTAATCCCTCTGATAGCGAACCTTAAGGTCCTCAAATGATTCTTCCAGTCTTGCCTGTGTCTCTCGAATTTCTTGAATCTCATGTAGTATTGCATCAAACCCTGAGCTCTGCATATCCAGAGTGTTTGTTTTGGAGCTGGAAGCTCCCACAGGGCCCCCTGTTGTGCTGTTGGCTCCCACTGAGCCTGACGTGGCACTGGAGCAATCCTCTTCACTGCCATATTTTGGGCTTGACTGAAAGTTCTGGATAACACCTAGAGCCTTGCCTCCTGTCCCATCTTCCTGGCCTTCTTCTAAGGAGTCTTTCAGATTAGCAATATTGTCTGCACTCCCAAACTTGTTCCTTATGAGGGAGGCAATCTCACGAGGTTTGGAAACCACAGCTCCTGCTGCTGAATGTGTGGCTTGGGAGAAACTGGAAAGCCCACCTTTAACACTATCTACTACTCCCTCACTGAAGCCAGTGACTTTTGCTCCAACATCTTTCAATCCCTGATGCATATCCCTGAAGACATCCTTTGGCTGCCGTGGCATCCCATTCTGCTCAATCTCTCGTAGCTTTCGATGGTAATGCTCTAGTTTCTTCTGCAGCTGCGAGATCGTCTGGGCGGACTTTTGATTCTTCTTCTCAAACACTTGCTTAATACGGGCGCTCTGCTGCTTGTCTGCGTTGTTGGCTAGTTTCAGGTACTCCGCCACATTGTCATCACGGGCTGTTTGTTCGATTTTGATCTGCTCAGTCAACTTCAGTATCTTCTGTTGCAGGTGTGTGATAGCCACTTTTGTACGCTGAGGATCTGGGGTCCCATCAACAGAGTCTGCATTGATGCTGCCATCGGTGCTCGAGGCCACTGCACTAGAGGTCTGCGCTAGGCTGCTGACTTCCAATCGCTCAATCTAGACGAGGAAAGAGAGAAATATAAACACTAAAGACCAGTTTTACTAACATAGAAACCTGTCCTTTTTTGTACCAGACATCTTGACACGTGGATGTTATTCTACAAAAATGCACCTTTTTTCAGCTGGCCAGAGTATAGTATAAATAAACTCTAAATCTCTACACGTAAGAATTGAGCGTGATGCGTTTTACGGGCAGGTAGTAAAAGCAGAGGAAAAGGAAAGCAAACTCCCAAACACTTGATGGCCTTGAACAACCAAAAAGTCAAGCACAAAGCAAGACAGAGAACCCAGCTTTGGCAGGCTGACTTCTGGGAAGTTTTGGTATGTGGCCAGCGGCTCCATCAGCATCAGAATACAAAGGTAGAGAAGGTAAGTGTGAAAGAGCAAAAGCCACGTACATCAAGTAAGTAGAAAACCCAAAGCATTCTCTGCGCCTCATTTATTTATACGAAAGCAAGGAAGTACCGAAACCTGGTGAAACAAAAGATCTACGGAGCGCAGCGCTCAGAGCAGCAACAAGCAGACCTCCCGACCTCTGAACACACGCCCTGCTTCGCGTTCCCCGGCCCGCAGCTCATGCTGCTGGCGATGCGGTGCCTCGGAGCAGAAGGAAAACGCGACGGAGGCGCGGGGCGCTGCTTCCCCGCGAAGGAGGCTCGCCGAGCCACCGGCACAGGCGCCCGAGCCTCGTCCTCCGGCCCGACGCAGCGAGCCGCCCCGCGGCACCTCCCGCCCCCGGCCCGCCCCCGCCGAGCCCCGCGCCCCGGTACCTTGGCCCGGCGGAGCAGCAGCGCCCGCTCCCAGTGCATGGCTCCCGCCGGGCGCCCGCATGGCCCCGCGCGGCCCCGCGCCGCGCCCCACCTGCCCGCCCCGCCCCGCCCCGGCCCGGCCCGCCCCGGTCCCGGCCCCGGCCCCGGTCCCGGCGGGTTCGGAGCTGCCGCAAGGCCCCGGCGGGAGCCGCCCGCCCCCCTCAGCGCCGGCAGCGAGGCCTCGCCCCTGCCGTTTACCCCTGGGGCTCGGTGGGCTGGGAACCTGGCCGCGGGCGTTTCCAGACCACGGCGCTGTCACCTCCTCGTCCCCGCTACTGTCGTGTTGACGGCAGCTTAGTAACGCTTTGAAAGGAAAAGTCTAAAAATGATGCTTAGAACCACCTCTATTCACGTGGAGGGAAAAAAAAGAAAAGCCACCGCCGTTTTAATTAGTTTTAAACCATGCAAAACAAAATAAACATTTTGGCTTTTACAGACACAGCAAACAGCTCTGTAACACGCTGCGTAAACAGGCTGTGATTCACGCGCTACACATCCAGCAAACAAGATTTAATGGTACACATTTCTGCTCCTTGGAACCGGCAGCCTGATTTAAACAATGGACAGCACTGCCAATCACTTAAACAACGACCATTCCATTCATGGCTCACCCACCAAATGCACAATGCATTTCCACATCTGTCTTGTGAACATACACTTCACGAAACAGCAGCAAAATATTAGCGTTAATTGTACCCCTCTGGTTTCTTAGTTTGTATTTGTGATTCACCACAACAAAGCAGTACCCTGCAGTGGAGGGGCAGCAACTCTGCTGCTGCTGAGCGGGCTGAGCCAGCCTTTCCCTGCAGCTTCACATGGAGGCTCTGCTATCGCATTGAAAGGAAAGATAATTAGCTGTATGGAGCACTCGGCTGATTTATTTTCTAGGGGAGTTTGGGTACTGGAAACCACAGAATATCAGCTTTCAAGTCTGTAGCAACTGCAGAAATATCAACCACTCTCTCAAACAGGTTTATTTGTAGAAACCCACGATCTCGAGACAGATTAGTGGAAGACTAGTGCAGAGGACTTACGCTAAATCAGTGGGACTAACAATACGTGGCATTAGTACTGTACAGAGAGTACTCGGTCTCTGAGATGTACGGACACGATTGGTAAAATACCTTCTTGGAATTTGCAATTTCATCCACATTTTCATAGGACTGTCACTGATCCAATTTCTTCATATGGCCCAGAAGTAAACAAAGATCCTGCGCACACCAGGCACGCCTGACCTAGACAGTGGTGGCCACCAGTTCCCTGAGGCATAAAGTGCTTAGCTCCTTCTCAACAGATCCTTTACGATCAGCAGACACAGCTCTATTTACTGCTTTTCCAACTTGCCATAATCTGCAAAGCAGCACAGTGTAGACTCTTTCCTATTCTGTACACCAACACAATCTTATTATTCCTCTAAATTGCTTTACAAAAACAAGCTGGCTTCTCAAAAAATAATAAAAAAGCAACAAACAAACAAAAACCCCTACCAACCCATTTGTAAAGATTTGTAAATATTAAGATCATGTCAATATCAAGAAGGAAAGATTAATATTAATATGAAATATCGAGAAGTAAATATTAGTATAAATGGCAGATAAAAAAAAGAAAAAAAAAAACCACAAACTTAATGCTTTTTTTTTTTTTTTTTTTTTTTTTTTTTTTTTTCCCCCAGAAAGTAACTTGAGATAACATTTCATAACTAAATACTTTTGAACCTGGCAGTGGTAAAGGTGGGTGTGAGTTGGTCTGATCCAGTGTCCCAGAACCACACCGGGCTACGAGCTCACCCACAGCACAGATGTGCTACAAGCTGAAACTGGCACATTTCAGTGTTGTAGAACGAAATGGAACTTCAACATTACTTTGCAATAACGAGTTTCTATTGACTTAATTCGCTGCAATTTGGGTCTAAATAGCATGTGTGGGTAATTATAAATTAAACTACCAGTACACTCTTCTTTCAGACAAGAGTTCTTTGAGAGGAAAAAATCCACAGAAAGTTTCTCTTTCCCCCTTTTAAAGGCAGTTACTTCAGCGTATATTCTCAGGTTATTTTCCTATACCTGTGACAGAAAATAATCCGGAATAGCTGTAATACAGTACACCATCTTGGGTTAATTATTTCAGAATTACCATTTGTGTGGACATTACTCTGGACTGATACAAAGGGTTTCTTCCAATTAAAAAGCAAATGACTGTACAAAGTGCTATTCTGGGGCAGAACAGAGATAAGTACCTTCACTGTATCGACAGTGCTTTAGAAAGGGAAGACTCAGCACAAAGCGGGCCCCGCAGAACACCGGGAAATGCTGGTGACATGTTATTGATTTAAGATGACTGGCAATCTGTCCTGAAAAGCTGCTGGTAAATGAAGTATTTTAATGGTCAATGTTTGTATAAAAATAGGCATTACAATTCAGTTTGAAAATCTGCCTTGCAATACAATTTTGCAGTATATTGAGTCAGTCTAAACCGAGTGGACCTGCATGACCACCCAACCAGGAGGTAACTGAAAACTGCTTTGGCATTATGCCATCGATCAAATGAAGTCACATGAGGACTTTCCTTCTTGCTCCTCCTCAAGATCTTATCAAATTCCTAGCACTTTTGAAGCTATCGTGCCTTCCCTTCTATAAAAGCTTTTCTATCTGTTTTGCAATAATAGGCAGTCCATACACAACCTACGATTCTGCCTCTTTTGGCTTTTCTGAAGATGAAATGTGTTCATTTTAAGGTGTTTCACCCTTCTGTAGAAAGTACTTCAGTAAATTTACAAAGTCTGTTTTTTGGTGTTTTTTTTTTTTTTTCTTCTCTCTTCTTGTTTTAAAACACGCACAGCAGCTGGCTTAAGCAAATAGTAGCAGAATTCAGAACAAGCCTACTTTAAGGAGATTGCTCCGCTCCCGTTTCCTTCCATATTTGGAGCTTTAAAAATGTAACTGCAAAGCGTCATGCTACTTGGAATAAAAATATATAGGGCAAGGTGAGAAAGGTGAACTGAGAACAACAACAGAAATGAGCAGCCCTGGAAGGAAACTGAGTGATTTCTTGGGTGCCTGGATTAGTCATATTTCCCAGTGACTGAGCACTCTCAATGGTATAGAAGACTAATCACTAAAAAATTCAGGTGGTGGTTTTTTTTTTTTTTTTCCACCTCACTGCACTGAAGGCAGTACAGTGCCTTCATCAGAAGAATTTAGGAGACTCACAGAAAGTAGTAAGCTTTAGATTTCCTGTTTCAAAACAGTCCTCGTTAACAGACTCGTCAGCGCAGGGCTGACAAAGACGTGTGTGCTGTAGGTGCAGACAAACTGGCTGCTCCCTGGGACGCAGCAGACAGGACGGGATGACTCGGGCGAACCTCTCCACGTCAGGTGGACAGACAGTCACCCGCCGTGGGCATGAAGCAGCGTGGACTCCAGTGATGGATGCAAGACAGTTAGCTCATTAGGAAATATGACCTGTAATTAACACCTTATGGGAATAAAAATTAGAGGGGAGAAAGAAAGAATGTCTTTCATGTTTGACTGTGTCTGCGGATTTACCACACCATACAGACATATGCCTGTACTACAACCCCTCCAGCCCCAGCTTGGCCCCGTCCCAGTGGGAGGCTGAGATCCGGCTGCAGAGAGCACGTGGAGCCCAAGACCCTTCGTGGCCTGGGCCTGTGGGTGCCAGGAGGGTTGCGTGGAGTCGCACCTTTGAACTGAGATGCCGAGTGAGATCCAGACTGCTTGTTCTTTGAACCCCCAGAACACGCTCTATATTTATTAAACTCTGAAATGCTTGAAATAGATAATTCCTTTTGATGCCTCTCAAGTCTCCTTGCACTTTCAGTTGGATGTAGAATTATTTACTTCCTACCCTGATCTGCAGTGGCTCTGAACACCAACCTGAAACGTTATTTTAAGGCACCTTTATGTGAAATTTTCAGTGCCAAAAAAGTGAGCTTTGGGGGGAAAAAGATTACACACGAGCTAATGCAGATAAACAAAACAGTGAAAAATAACAGTTATTGAGACCTCTGGAGAACAGCAACAAACAAACACAAAAAATATTGGATTTTGGAATTGGATACTCAAGTGTTAAAACTGATCCAGTTTCCTATTCAAACATACGGTCCTGTTTTGCAAAGAATTATTTTAGATGTCCCTAAGAGAGGTTTTATACCACCAGACTTCACTT